TCAAGTTCTCTTAAAGCCCAGGGTGTGGGTCAGGGAGGCAGGGAGCAGGCCCCTGCTTGCCTCCCCTCTTCTCTTTCTCCCACCTCTCTCCCCTCCACCAAGATCAGCTATGGCAACTTCAGCGGGGATCACAGGCTCCGGCAGAGGTGGAGTGGAACAAGACTCCCCTCCTCCAGGGCTCCTCCTGGGTTGCTCAAAGCTCTGTGTGGAAGGGAAAAGGGAATGCAAAAGTGGCCTTCAGGGAGGTGAAGGCCAGGAGACCCAGAACATGGCAACCCTAGGTTTCCCATAGGCTCCTCTCCATAGACTAGCTGGCCTTTCCTCAGGGACAACCCAAAGTCAGACTTAAACAGCTCCCTGGGGACATTCCTTCCCCGGGGTGGTGGTATTTTGGGGAGCGGATGTGAACTTCCCTGAGGGGAGAAGTGTGAGCTCTCAGCATCCTGCTTCCACCCCCCCCCCCAACATGCTCCATTCTCCAAATTTAGGGTGGAAGGAGAAAGGGGAAAGGTGTTTAGGCCCTCAGAGTCCAAAGAACTGAGACCTGGAATATGGGGGCAGGAGGCCCCATTATTACAGCTGACAGGAGTGGGGCCTGCAGAGCTACAGGGAGACCTCGAAGCCCCCACCCCTGTCCCGATGCTGAGATCCTGCCTGGAGGGTCCTACTTTCCTTGATGAGAGGTCACTGCGCACCCAGGAGGCAGCCCCCTGGGGCTCCCCATGCAGCCTCAGCTTTCTCCCCAACACCCCAACTCTGCCTCCCCCCCTCCCCCTTTCCAGAGTGGGGAGCGGGCAGACTGAATCACGGCTGCCGAGAGACCGGATTTGGGGCTTCCGGAGAGCCCCAAGGTCCCCCGCCCAAGCCCCTCCCCGGTCCGCGGCGCTGCCTGAGCATTTATGGTAATGTTTGGGACGGTTCGGAGCGACGCCGGATGCCCCGCCTCCCCGCGGACTCTGCTGGGCGAGATCTGGGGAGCCGGGGCTACAGCGGGGTCTCCTGGGCTGAAGCCCTGGGTGCTGGAGGGGTCCCCACGTGGAGAGGCCCCTGGGGTCAGAGGGAACAAAAGGGACAGTCCCCGCTCCGAGGGCTCAGCAGGCTGGGGACGAGGATGGGAGGGCTGTGACCCCCCTCAACATACCCCACCCACTGCCACCCCCTCCCTCTGGCTTAACGGGTGCTTAGTCCCCAGGAGTCCTTACGCATCCACATCCTCTTTCTCCTTCTCTTCCCTCAACTCCCTGGCAGGGAAGGGGCTGAGAAGAGAGGCCAGCAGCTCCCAGGGGATCCGCTGGAATGCTGGGAGCCTGGGAACGGACCCTGCAGTCCCTGGGAAAGCCACGCCGTGGGAATCCCACCCGCAGCCCCCTCCCCAGGATGGGCCACCGGATACCAGAGACCCCAGCTCCCCAACAGGGGGCTTTGTGAGAGTGGAAACCACCCCCCGTCCAAGCCCCAGCCTGTCTCGACCCCAGAGTTCAGTAGGCCAGCTGTGACGAAGGCACCCCTCCCTCTCCCTCCCCTCGCCCTGCCTGCTCCAACATAATCCCCGCCATTGTGCCACTAACCCCCTCCCCCCTCCGCTTCTCTGGACCCCTGTACAATGGGGCCTTTGCCGCCTCTAGCACTCAGGGTGGAGATGAACTCACTCACGGTTTTTCCAAGTTTAAAAATAGCCCCTCCCATTCCCCCCCCCCCACCAAGTCACCTTCCTCCTCTTCCGCAGTGTTTCTGGGGTGCGCCTTAATCCAGGCTGCACCTTCTTCCTCCTGCCATGAGTCAAGTGCAAAGGACATGGGTAAGACTGCTTCCCGCCAGGATAGGGGCTGCTTCCCCCCATTCAATCTCTTCCCCCACATCTTCCACCCAGCCCCCCAGTATCCGGTTTCCTGGCCCATGATGTCCTCAGCAACAACTGCCCCCCACTCTCCTCCCACCCTGTTTTTCACTCCACCAGCACAGTCTCCTCCCAACTCAGACCCCCATTCTGGAAAAATTCTCCTGCCTCCCCTCCAAAGACCCAGACTGGACCCTATTTTCTGGCCGGGACAGGGGATTCCCCAGCCTCCATAACTGCTAGGATTGCTGGGCAACCACCCCCCTCCACCCGCAGCTCCTTCTCACTGCAGCTGCAAACTTGTCTTTATCAGCTTCCTTCCTCTGCCCAGCCGGACCTTCTGACGTCCTCCTGACCAAGGCCCCTTGACCCCAGAGGTGGGTGGGAGGCCACTGTGCCCACTATGCAGAGTTGAGAGGACTCCTAGGTTAAAATCTCACCCCAGCGAGCCCCTGGGGGCAGGCCCATCCTTGTCTTTTTACCTCCAACTCCACTGGGGCAGGGGTCCCACTCTTCTCCACTTCTCCTTACAATGAACTGAAAGGCCCTCCCACTCTGGAAACTACCTGAAGGACCCAGGCCACCCACCGTCAGTTTCTCTGCCTGTGGTCAGACCTATGCCAGGGAGACACACAGAGGGCATTCCACACAGCGGGTCCTCTCATCTCTGAGTAGCTTGGGTCTACTATGGGGGTGGAGGAATGCAGCAAATGAAGAGAGAAATGAAGACAAATGGAGAGAAATGAAGCAAAGAATTAGGACTGTGGCCTAGGGCCTCTTCTGATCTTGGCCTACAATCTGGGCAAGGCTGCTTCAACTCAGTCCAGGTGCACGAGTCTCTGTGGGTGGAAGGCCCATCACGGCCTCCTTGATCTCCTCTTCTGCGAGATCTCAATCCTCTCTTGCTGGAAGTTCTTCCTCTGCTGCCTTCTCTCTTTCCTGCGACTGCTGAAGCTCTATCTTCTGGCATCTCAGAGGAGCTGGAGGGCTGATACCCTCCACCTCCTGCTCCCTTGACCCTGTCCTGTCTTCACTCCCCTTTCTTCCTATTTCCAGTCCCCTCTGAGTCCTCTCCAAGGTCTTCACCTCTCTTTGGTTTGGAATCCCAAAGTGCCCCCCTCATTAAGCCATCCCAGAGCTGTCTGCCCCCTGACCTCTACCACCTACTCCCTGGTAGCGCAGATAGCCCCAAGCTACTGGCTTCCTTAAAGGACAGTCTTTGTGCTTGTTTGGTGGGGCCATGCAGGGAAGGGCTGTCACCCTGGGCTCTAACCTCATTTCCCCTTCACTGCAGAGGCAGCTCCTCCACCCCCACCTGGCTTCACCGTCCTCAGGACGGAAGAAGAATTCCGAACTGACTGTCCTTGGTGGTTAGCTGGCTTTGTTTTCAGGCCAGAGAGGAGAATGATTAGTTAACGGTGTTAAGTGAAGGGAAGGAGGTGGGGGCAGGGAAGCAGAGCTCCATGCTCAGCTCTGAGCTTGCCAGGGCAAACAGCATACTTCAGCCATTCCCCCTCCTGCCCCTGCAGACAAACAAGCTCATCCTTTCCACTCCGGCCTGGCCCAGTCCATGCATTCACTCTGGGGGATGAAGAGCCACCGTCCTCCTCTTCCTCCCTCCTCCCAGGCTCCAGGCCCCTGGCCTGGCTGGCTTGGCATGGCCTCTGGCTGGAGACTAATGGACAGAGAGGAGAGGGTCAGCAAGGTTCTGAAAGACGAGGCTGATGTGGTTTGAGAGTCATCTCTGTGTCATCAAAACGCCATCCCAGAGCATTCTCTCAAGTCACCTGCCCATCGCTGGCGTTTGCTGCCTCACCCTGCTCCTCCCCCAACCAGCAGAAAGTCTGCCCTGCCAAGCGACAGGCCTCCACCCCAAATCCAGGCCCCTATTTGACCCTCCCTGCTGAAGGAGTCCCGCAGATGTGGACCCCTTTCCCAGGGCCAGGGTGCTGGGGCCTCTGTGAGGCAAGCGCCCATCCCACTCCCCAGAACCTTAGGCCAAGAGGCCAGAAAACCCAGGGTTTGGGAAGAAGGAGGGCTGCAGGGCTCCCCACACCTTGCTTTGTGGCTGACCCCACTCAGAGAGGGCTGCCTGAAACCAGATCTGATCCCTCCTCCATACCCCCACCCCCACAATCAATAGGGATGGGGGAGCCTGTACAGGGGTAGAGGGGGCTGGAGCCCTGCCGCGGGGGTCCTTTCAACCATCAGGAACAGCAACAGGTTTTCAGGGGTCACTGGAAACCGTGCACCCATTAATTCTTTCTTCCCCCTTCTTTCTTCATTCCGGTGAGGGGGAACTGAGTCCCAGGCTAGACTCAATGAGTGAAGAGGGCGGAAACAGAATTCTCAAGGCCTGGGCTTGGACAAGTGTGAAAACCTCGGGCCTGTGAGTTCAGCCCCCTCCCTCCTTCCTCTAGTCAGAGACGGACTTGCAGGAGCTTAGCTCTGAAGGGACAGCCCCTAAGGCACCATCTCCACTCCCCAATACAGGTACCTCTGGGTTTGTGGGAGCCGGCCCAGGGTTCTTCCCTCCAAGCTGCCAGGACTGCGAGGCTTGGGGGCAGTGCCAGGCCGGCGGCAGCCGCAGTGGTGCAATCGTTCTGGGAAGCGGCCCGATTTCTCTGTGGCAGGGTCCTGCGGGCTGGAGGAGGAGGCAGAGAGAGATACCTGAATGGGAGGCCCACCTCGGGGACACCGAGGACCTTGTCGGCTGCCCCTCCCGCCGGGAGGTCCCCCAGGGCTACCTGGCTGGTAGGGGCTGAGCGGGGGCACGCGCTGCTGGTTCTGACCCGGCGTGACTCTGGGCATCCGGGCCAGCTTCTCCTCGCTGCCGCCTCGCACAGTCGGTCCGGCCTCGAGACACCTGTCACTGCCCCCTCTCCCTGCCCAGGGTGGGGGGCTGGGAGGCCAGGTCCGGCCTCCCCCAGAGCGGCGCGGCTCGGCGCAGCTCTCGGCCTCCCAGCGCGGGGCCCGCCCCCTAGGGCTGCG